GGGACAAAAAGTCTTTGCAAAGGCCTGACTTGAAGGAAAGATTGATGGTAGGAGTAGTGACACTCATGTAAATAGTGAAAGATTCAAGGAGTGCAAAAGGTTGTTTGGCATGGGTAAGAGGTGGAAGACCATCTAAAAGATGATCAAGATTAGCGTGTTTCCCTTGTATATAGTATGCCTCTGATACTATTTCTAATGGTGGTATGAGGGTGGATTATGCCCAATCAAGATGATATAACATCCTTCAGATGTATGACCTTGAAAAATTTGTGTTGGGTATTATCTTGAGGTTTCTCTCTTGAGAGGAAGAAAATACTCATCTATGTACAAGGGAGAATGGCAGTTCACTCGTGTGAAGAGACATGTCGTTACGAAGTGCCTTGATCATCCATAATTGTTGAGAAATCATAATAACACTTATATCTGGTTTCAAATATCTATTCCCTGGTGGCTGTTTTCTTGGTGAAATGCTTAGTTCCACTTTTAGTCAAGTCTGATTCTGTCAGTAGACTTGAATAACTATTTTGAGTGGTTATTTGGTCAAGATTAAAGGATGTCTCGGTGTTGTTAAATGCAATGTTCAATAAGGTATCATGACATTGTATTTTGAAAGTGATTAGTCTCTAATGAAGTGGTTAGAGTAACAAGGGTTGTGAAAGGTAGTGGTGGAGGTTGCTATGGATAGCATGACTATATTGTTCCTTCCTCAAGGGATTTGCAAAAACTACCTACATGGACCAGTTTGATTTCTTTTGGGTTCGCCTCATCTCTCTTTAGCTATGTATGTCTTTTTGATCAAACTCATTTTTTGTTAAATTTTGGCTAAAAAGGGGGAGAGTAATAGTAGTTTTACTGTGTCATATCGGTATTGTGCCTTTGTTTCTAACCTTGTTGCCTTCTTACCTGCAAAAATCAAGGGGGAGTATGACTTTCTGGGATAAGGGTTTTTTGTTCCTTCATTTGATGAGTCTTAGGTTATGGGATATCGTTCAAGATGTTCTACCATATTTTCTGCTTTGATGTGTCTTATGTGGTGTGTCTTCTTGTTTATGTCTCATGATTACTTGGGCCATTCAGGTTATCCTCTATCATGAACTTCTTGGTATGGTGTCACATGGTTATCTAACTTGGATTATGTAAGTTAGAATTTTCTGTGTCAACAAATGGTTTTGACTTTTAGAGGGAGTAGATTGGTAGCTCTTAAAGATGTAGTTCTTTCTCGTGTACACCAAATGTATTCAGGATTTCCCTTCTTCATCCTGGGTTTATTATGCAGTATTAAAAATACTATCTTCTAAAAGTGGTGCTTAGCAGGTTTTGTATTCTGGACTGAACTGCTGTGAAGATCTGTCATACATGATATTCTGACATGTTGAGAACTAGATATTCTCTGGTTCGTTGTGTTGAAGAAGTTTCCACTAGCTATATCTATGATCTTTGTTGTTTTGTCTTCTGATGTTGTGCCTTTGATTGATTGGATGCTTGGGTTTTTCAAATGTTGTAGTTGCTTATGTGTGAAAGATGTGCTAAGTTGTTTTAGCCAAAATAATCCAAAGGGGGAGATTTTATTTCTTTGTTTTGTTGTGATTGGAATTATGTTTGGTAAAACTAACTTAGCTTTTACATGTCTAATAAAGATGTTCTATGTACTGAAGCAACGTGTCATATGCAAAGTCCTATGCATTCTCTTTAGACACCGTGTTTGTGAACAACTGGATTTTTGGATATTCTGATCTGTTACAAGTGCAAAATATTTTGTGAATATTGTGCTATCCTATGTGGTGCTCATTTTGAAGATTGAAGAAGATTCAAGTTGATTTCAAGGAGAATTGTTAGTTCATAATTATGGAGATATTTTAGGAAAATAATGATTGATTTCCTATCTTTGAGGATATGATTCTGCAGTGCCTGTTACTTTTATAGCGTGAATTTATGAAGCGCAAACCCAGTTCTATAAAGGTTATAAATAGAAGGATTCAACCCTAGTTATTTTTTATGAACTTACACTGTATTTTGATTAGGGTTTGTATGCTTATTGTGAGGCTATCGACTATCATGTTGATAAAAGATTAGGACTTTGTTTTTGTTGTAAGTTCTGTCAATCATTCCAAAGCTTGTAAGAAGCGAATGATTGTGTGTCTTTGAACTGTGACTTCTGTGTTTTTCTAAGTGCTTAGAATTGTTCAGTCACTAGTTTCTGATTGGAAGGGATTTGAGAAGGGTGACATACCTAGGTAATTATTAGGTATAAGTTAAGTGAGTGTAGTGATTAAGTGAGAAGTTGTAAATAGGGGAGTTTAACTTTGAATTGATACTATTAGTTAACTTGGTCCCTAGATTGGTAGACCTTAGAGTAGGTGTTGGTTTGCACCGAACTGGGTTAACAATCCAGTGTGTTCTTTACTTTTTTGCACTTTGATTATAGTTTATCTTGTCATTTCTTGTTTTTTCAGAAAAAGGTGTCTCGATATCTTTTAGAACATCTGTCATCTGAATACCAGAATTTAAATTTGCACTTATGGTTATACTCACATGCGTAATGATGATTGATGGGGTCGTGATGCCATATAGGCAATGTCGCTTCATGAACTCATCACAGATGGTATGCCACTTAGGATCCTTTTGAATCATTATGTTGGGGGCTCGTGCAAGTCTCTTGACGTTTAGGCACAAGGGATAACCCATCGAAGGTATGATTTTGTATGGCCTGGGTAGAAAAGCAGAACTTACTTCTGGATTCCTTGTACATGGGTACGACTGTGCATACTTGTTTTGCTTGGTTGTATACTTGTTGTTATCTCATTGGTGAGTCAAGATACTACCAAGGGAGATATTACCTTTTGTTGTGTACTTGTACCTAGCCGTGAGGAAACCCTGGATCAACAGTGGATCCGTTTTTATTGCATATACCTTATAGAACTGAGTGAACCCATAAGATATGGCAACTCACTGAGATTTAGTAATCTCACCTCAATCCTATTATTATTTTTCAGGAACGGTTATAGGTAGAAGAATTGTTATATGGTATACATCGAAGACTGTGGATGAGCAGATGGTAGGAAGACCTTATAAGATCTTATCTTTCCGCTGTTCATTGTATACATTTATCTGTAGAGTTGAATTGCATATGATTTTATTTCTTGTCATTTCCCGCTTTTGTATGTTTCTATGTACCATTTATAACATCACTATATATTATTATAGACATATATGTATGTGGTGTTACACACTCACTACGATGAAAATAAGTTAAGTTTACAAGTGAGCATCATGAGTTCTAAATAGGGAATCGAGAAGTTTTTCAAAGATAATAATTTTGGGTTGTAAAAAATGAAGAAGCAAAAATTCTTAACTCAACAAAAGTATGTAGAAGCATTGAAAGGTGGGGCATTAATTATTGTAGGCCTAACGCGAGAAGTGGAGACTAAGATTATAGATAAGAGCAGAAGTGTCATTATTCTGTGCCTCAAAAATAAAATCCTAAGGGAAGTATCCAAGAAGAAGACTGTGACTAAAATGTAGGTCAAGCTTTAATAATTGTATATGATAAAGTCATTTCCTCATAGGATGTCTCAAACAACAACTCTACTCATTTGAAATGGTAGAGAACAAATCCATTATGACAAAATTGACAACATTCAACAAGATCATTGATGACTTACAAAATATATAGGTGGAATTTGATGATGAGGGAAAACTCTACTTTTATTGAGCTTATTACTCAAATTTGTTAAGCATTCCAGTGATGCTTTCTTTATGGTAAGGAAGACATTATCACCTTGGATGAGGTTCAAATAACTATATTTTCAAGGAGCTATCAAATATGAAAAAATTTGAAGGTTGAAGATAATGATGAAGACTTTAAGGTTTCAAGAGGAATGAGTAAAAACAGATGGAATTCCAAGTCTAAAGGTTTGATAAGCCAAGGCTAAAATGCTCCACTTGTAATAAAAATGACTTTAAGAAGGATTTTTTTGAGAGGAGGGAAAATATAATTTTGTTAAGATTATGGTTATCTCTGATGAAGATGGTTATGAGAATGTTGGTGTTCTAGTGGTGACAGCTCTGGATATAGCGGAGAGTTGGGTAATGGACTCAGGATGTTCTTATCACACATGTTTAAAGAAAGAATACTTTGAAACTTTGAAACTGATCGAAGGAGGAATCATTTAATTCAATAATGATAAGGCTTGCAAAGTTCACAGTCTTGGTATAGCCAGACTCAAAATATGTGAAGACACTGAGTTTCTTCTACATAATGTGAGGAATTTGGCTATTGCACTAGAGTTAAACATGGGGTGTTAAAAATTTTGTATGGTGCATTGATCATGGTTAAAGGGTCTAAAATGTGTGTGTTACATTTTTTAAATTGTTCCGATCTTATTGGTCGTGCATAATTAGCTAGCATGGACTTTCATGACAAAATCAAGCTATGGAATTTCGAATCATAGATGTCAGTGAAAACAGAACTCACAATTGCCTGAATTTTATTTAAGAAGGTAAGGAGTTTTATAGAAAACAAGTTAGAAAAAGGCACACAACCTTTGTTGGGACGCCTCAATAAAATGTTCTATTTGAATACATGAAAAAGATAATTTTAGAGATGGAATAGTGCACGTTGATAGGATCTAGGATGCCAAATACAGTAGAAACTCTTTAAATTAATAATGTCAGGACAAAAGAAATTTATCAATTTAGAGAGTTATTAATTTATAGATAAATTAATAATTATTAATTTAAAGATTTTTTAAGTAATTATACTATACATACCAAACAAAAAGGCAAATTAGTCTATGCCTCTTAGAATCACGTTGCAGCGAACCTTGAGACTCAACGTAAATTAGTAACTACTGTGTTCATATGCATTGGAAATCAATAATAACTTTTGAAGTATAGTAAATGTAAACAAGATAAACAAATGTGTTCAATATATTCTTAAGCAAGTTTGGCATATATAAATTACATGAATGCGTTAGAGTATTCAAACCATATCTCACAAGATGGCTTCTCATCTAAAGGGTGTTGCAAAATCAACTATGTCAGATCAAATACATAAGGAGTTGTGTGAGTACAAGAGAGATAATCCTACAAGCACACAAAAAGACTTGCAGAGATGGCTTGAGGGGAAATTTCAGTTGAAAGTTAGTCAAGGAACAATATCAAACACACTTAAGCAGTCATATGACTATCTCTCTACTGAAATACAAAAGAGAAGAGCAGAGATCAAAAGACACAAACAGCAAAATATCCTAACATGGAGAAGGTTGTTTATGAGTGGTTTCTCCAGCATCAAGAACGTGTGAATAGCACAGGAGAATTAATTTTGCAGAAGGCAAGAGATACAATGAAACTTGTGTACCCTCATGATGATTCAAATTTTAACTTCTCTATAGGATGGCTTGGGAAATTCAAGCACCAACAAGGCATAAAGTTATTTCGTCATTTTGGAGAGAGTGGGTCTGTTGATATACAAGACATGGAGCAGAAATTGGTATCGATTCGGGAGAAAATTGATCAGTTCCCTATGAAATATGTTTTCAATATGGATGAAACTGGGTTGTTTTATAGGCTACAAGCTGATCATTCACTGGCAACAAAACAACTTGAAGGATAAAAATAAGATAAAGAAAGTTTGACGGTAGTTATTTGTTACAATGAAGATGGCTCTGAAAAAATCCCTCTATGGATTATTGGGAAATATGCAAAGCCTCATTGCTTCAAGAATGTCAACATGAATAACTTGGATTGTCAGTATCGAGCTAACAAAAAATCATGGATGACTAGTGTGCTTTTTGATGAATATGTTCGTTCATTTGACCAAATGATGCATGGTAGAAGAGTTCTACTTGTGGTGGATAATTTTCCAGCACATCCAAGAAATATTGAAGGGTTAAGAAACGTTGAGTTGTTCTTCTTGCCGCCCAACATGACATCAAAGATTCAACCTTGCGATGCTGGGAGAATAAGAGCTTTCAAGATGTATTACCGTAGAAGGTTTTACCGCAAAATATTGGAAGGTTATGAGGTGGGACAATCTGATCCAGGGAAGATAAATGTCCTTGATACTATCAATTTGGCAATCCCAACTTGGACGATAGATGTTCGAAAAGAAACAATAGCGAATTGCTTCTGACACTGTAAAATTTGATCAACTAGTGACATTGTAAGAAATGTGGATGAATCCATTTTTGATGAAGAAACTCAAGACCTCGAGACTATGATCAATCAATGTGGCTATCGTAATAAGATGTGTATCGACAATCTAATGAACTACCCAGGTGAAAATGAAGCATGTTCGGAGGTTCAGAGTTTAGAAGATATTATAGATACTATCATTGAGAATAATACAGAGGATGACAGCGAAGATGATACAATGTCTTTGGAGCATGTTACACGAAAGGAAACACTTATGGCGTCGAACACTCTTCACAACTTTATGATACAATACAAAAATACAACACCTGAGCTATTGGATGCAATAAGAAAAGTTAGAGATGAGCTCCAAATAGACTTGAACTTTAAAGAAAAACAGATAACTATTGAATTATATTTCAATAGAGTGTAATATTTTTTTTCTTCAGTTTCTACGAATTATTAACTTATGATTTTTTTGGGACTGAAAATTATAAAGGGATCTCCCGAAAAATTATTATCTTATTATTTTAGAGTTTTTCAACTTTTTACATAGACCCAAGTCGGGACCGGACAAATTTATTATTTTATAGAGTTTATAATTTACCGAGTATTAATTTAAAGAATTTCTACTGTAGTTTTTAGAGTAAAACCATTTCTACAATAGCTTACATAATCAGCAGATGTTCATTGATAGAAATAAACTTTAAGAAATATTGGGAGTGGGAAACTGATATACTAATCTAATTTAAATATTTTCATAGCTTTGACGATTGCACATATCAAACAAGGCAAACTTGATGATAGGGTTATGAAATATGTCTTCATTGGTTATTCTTGAGGTGTGAATGGTTACATGATCTTGAAGGTGAAGCTTAGAGGATCAAAACTCATCATAAGCATGAATGTTACTTTCGATGAGACATGCATGTGGATGAAGTGCAAAGACTTGAAGGTGAAATAATAAGAAACTATGTTGGAGAAGACTCAACTTAAGGTGGATTCCTACTTAGGAGACTAGGATAAGGAGTAGGTTAAGGCTCTTGCTTCTAGTATTACTGAGGGACAACATACAGTGGCTCATGGTTATCATTTGGTTCGTAATAGAGTAAGAAAGGAAATTGTACCATCTTAAGATACGATCTTGTCGGCCTTATTTGTTATGCTTTACATGTGGTTGAAAAGTTACAAGACTAAAAAAACAAAGACCTTTATGGAGATATTCAAAAGCAAAGAGATTCAAAAATAATTTAAGACAATGAGTAATGAGATACTCTCACTAATGAAAAACCATACCTAAGAGCTTATGAGACTACCTAAGAAATAAAGGGAAATTAGATGCAAGTGGCTAGATCATGGTTCAATTATTACTTAAACTTTAGTGATTCAAACTTTATAAAAAACAACAAGGTAATTGGTGGTTCAATAATATCACCATTGATCTTATATACTAAAGTTGTTAAGTCCCTTAAGCAACTCTTAGAGCCAAAATTAAGGTTTTTTTGTAATTGTATATTTTCATTCCATTTTATTTTATTAGTTATTTATTAAAAATTAATTTTCTCCCATCAATTATTAAATTTCTCCCACTAACTTCTATGTTTATTTAATTATTACTTTAGTAATTTATATATATTTTTTAATTTTAATTATAAAATTGTGTAGTTTTTGTAACTTTTCTTCCATTTTTAAATTTAATTACATAATTAACTCTTAATTTCCCCCCACTAAATTTTATATTTAATTATTATTTTAGTAATTTTTATATTCATTTTAATATTTATTAGTTATTTACTAACTCTTATATTAATTTATTTTTATTTATTTTTATTTACTTTTAATTATTCAGTAAATATTAACCTTCTCTTTCACTTAATTTGTATATATATTTTTTATTTAATAATATTCAATATTGATTATATAATTTTTAAAAATATAAATACATTATTTTTAATCTATGTTCTTAAAAATAGAATGAGTGATATTTTTAAGTACCATAAATATGTATTTGCTCTATCATGTTTATCTAAATTATTCATTAAGCAATGTTTTATTAAATTTAATAAATTTGTGTTAGGTTTATTATAACTTTCCTAAAATATCATATTAAATTATGATAAATTTTAGTAAACTTAGTAATTTGATAATATTTTATAAAAAAAATCATTTGTTCCTTAAAATATATAATATGTTGATTATAACTTCTCTAAAATATTTGTCAAATAATAAGATTTGTAACTTCCACCCAATTATTTGTTCAATTATTCATTAATAATAATTAAATAATTCTTTAAAAAATATAATAAAAAATTAATATTAAATTAAAATTAATAATAAATTAACACTAAACTACACCACTTACTACTAACTATGAATTTACTTTCATATAATTCATTTCAATGGGATGTGTCAACACAATTTTCTTTGTGTTGATTCATTCTTTAATATTTTCTCCTATGAAAATTGTCCTTACAGTTTTTTTTATTTATATTTATTCTTTATTATTTCCTTTCTTTGATTATCCGATTAATATTTTCAACACAATTAACAAATTTGTACTATTCTTATTATGTTCACAATATTTTATTTATAATATTTTTGTGATTTTCTTTGTTTAAGTTTATTCTTCATTATGTATTTTCTTTTATTAATATTGTGTTTGTCTTTATTTTTTATTTATTATTTATTCAATTCTTAATTTTATTGTTGTTTTGTAATTTTTATCATATTTTTTATAAGTATAAATTTTAAGTGACTTTTTAGTAAAGAAATTTCATTTCTTATTTCTTCAATTCTTAGTTTTATTGTTGTTTGCTAATTTTTTATCATTTTTTTTAGGTATAAATTTTAAGTTTGTGACTTTTTGGAAAAAAAATTATTGAAAATGTTAAAATTAATAGTCTTTCTTCTATTGTTAAAGACTTTATTAATAATTAATTAAATGAAAATGACTAAAAAATAGAAGCAATTTTTCTCTCATTATTACTAAATTATATTTTGTACAACTCCATTCACTCACTATTATTCATAATAATAATTTATAGGTTAAAAAACACATTAATTAATAACACTTCAAAATTCAAAATTCATAACCCACTAATTCGTTTTTTCTTACTATTTCTTTTTTTTTAACGTATATTCAAGTCTATTTGACCATATATAATATTTAACTGAAAATAACGAGTACAATTGTTTTTATATTAGATTGAATTAATTGGTTCAATTAAGAGTTGGTAAACTTATTTGTTTTATATCAATTGTATCTTGGCCTTCTTTAGTTAATTAATCCATATTATAGTCTAAATTTTTTTTAATGTATATTCAAATCTATTTGATCATATATAATATTTAATTAAAAATAATGAGTGCAAATCAAATATTAATGTTTGATATTTTCTCATAACATTAATATAATTAATTGATCAAATAAAAGTAGTTAAAATAAAAATGACTAAAAAAGTTGCTTCAATTTACTTAAAAGTATGACCTATCTACTTAATTGTCCGATGTGTGGAGTTTATATGTTACACAATTTTTTTTTTTTACATAAACAATTATATGTTGTAATTATTTATTTTTATATTTATTTATTATTAATCATTTCACTAATTAATTAATTTTTAATTAATAAAATATTATTTATTTTATAATTATTAATTTAACTAACTTTTTAATTAATAAAATATTATTAATTATCCTATTAACTAACCATCATTTTAATTAATAAAATAGTAAAATATACCTCAAATTTTTATTTAACAAAAAAACTTAAAACTTTTTTTTTGTATTTAAGATATATTAATATAAATATGTTGATATCTATAAATAAATAATTTTTAAAAAATAAATAATAATAATAAAGAATTTATATGAATTATTATATTAAATTATTTATGAAATAATTTATTTTCCGTGCATGGCACGGGTACAACTACTAGTTTTGAGTAAAGGTGAAAAATTGTAGAAGTTTGCCTTAAAATCTCAAGTGATTTAGAGAAAAAAAAATTCAATTTTGAATATTGTCAGGTAACTTAGAGACGGCTAGATGAACTCTGGGAGCTGGGGTATTGATCCATAAGGGAGGCGTGATCAAGTGAGTTTGTTACGTTGGTTATTGTCTGGGCGTGTAAATTAAATTTTTCAGAGTTTTAGATCTTTATAAATACAATTTTCTATTATTTTAGATGTGTCAGGTGAAATCCTAATGAGAGAAATTTAGAGAGAGAATTTTTTTTTATTTTAAGATTCATTATTCTATAAATTAGAAGACTTTTGAATATCTAAAAGGATTGAAAAATACTTTTAAATCCATTGTTTGTGATATATATATATATATATATATATATATATATATATATATATATATATATATATATATATATATATATATATATATATATATATATATATATATATATATATATATATATATATATATATATATATATATATATATATATATATATATATATATATATATATATATATATATATATATATATATATATTAAAAAGAATGGATATTGAATTAAGTAGAAAATATGAGATATTTTTATGAATTTTTTGATTATTTTTTAACTCATCTTCTAATCTCTTTTAACAACCTTTGAAATATAATGAATAGAAGAAGTGCTCTCTTGTATGCCTAAATCAATTTGATCAAATTGATTAAATAAATGGTTAAATATATTTTTATTTAAAATATTTTATATTTAATATTTAGTCTCTTTAAAATTTTCTTTAAAAAATAATCCTCTTAAAAATTTTAATTTTAACTTTCCTCGTACCAAAATCATCGCTAATTTAGTTGTTAAGTTGTAAAAGTCGTCGATAAATTGCAGTGGAGATAAAAAATTAAAATTAAAATTTTTAAAAAAATCATTTTTTTAAAATTTTTTTTTAAAGAGACTAAAATTAAATATAAAAAATTTAAGAATATCAAAAATATATTTAACCCATAAATAAGTTATGTGTGTATTTTGTCTTTTATTTTTTGTTTTT